TTACCCCTGAATAAGTAAGTCGTCACAGGGAGAGATGGGAGCTCTCTTCCAAGGACCCCTTGTTCTCGCCCACCTTTCTCACTTTTCTTTCCATTTCAGATTAAACCTGTGGAAAAATGACGGGCCAAGCTGTAAAAGTGAACAGTGTGCCGCCAGTAGGTGCAGCAGGCGGTTTCACCCACGGGTTCCCTCAGGGCTCAGGTCAGCTGCTTTCCATGAGGGCTTCAGTTGAGGTAAGCATGGGAAGCTGTTTTATCTCACAGTTCACTAGAGCTGATAACATCATGGTACCAGGAGGAGGTTGAGAGAAAGCACATCCACCCACGCACACACACAATGCTGGACCCATGGTGTAAAAATGCTGATCAGTTTACTGTTCCCATAAGTTGGGTTTCTGGTAAGTGCAGAGACAAAAAAGCATGAGGGTGACTGAGGAAAGCAAAGAGGCGGAGATTGGATAAAATTAGTTTTTCTTGCATGGATGACCTAGACACAGCATTTTAAAAGGCAAACTGCAAACCAAGCTATTCGTTCGCTTTAAGACAAGCAACTAATAACACCATAGAGTTTCTCTACTTCTTGATACACACACCCAGTGGCTGTGTTTGCATCTGAAAAAGTCCCTTCATGTTAAATAATTTCGTATGTACTTCACTGGTTGTGCACCAGCCGTTTTGGATCAGATGACCTCTAGAATTCTCTTAGTGGAAAGTGTGTCCTTGGCTAACGTCTGCATCAGCATCGTCTCACACCTGCCGTTCTTTCTCTCTTATTATTCAGTTTATAGTTGACTTGATGTAATGTAACTGACCAGAACTATAAGGAGTGTAAACAGTTTGTTAATCCCTAACTAATGTACAGTCACTTCAGAAAGTGTTCAAGCACATTGCCTTTATTGGGTTGTAGATTCGATTTTAGAGTAGTTTAGACTTGATAACCCATAATAACAAAGAGAAAACATGTTTTAGAAATTGTTTGCTGGTTTATTAAAAATCAACAATGGAAACCTTTAATTTCCAAAGATTTTAGACCCTTTGCTCTGCTTTAATTGTGTCTAAAACCACGAGTGTAGAAATGCAGACATGTCTATATAATGTCCCACAATTCACACTGTAAGTCCAATAATGTCAGCACAGTATGGCACTCTCCAAGGAAATAAAAGAGGGAAATTTGTCTTAAAATAGAATTTAACTTTGAAATATACTTACTCAAATTAACTTAGTGGGGCAGCTGAAGCTGCGTTTGAGCCTCAGACAAACTTTGGAAAACATGTTTTTACAGAACAAGAGTTGTGTGGTTTGTCCCTCATTCTTTTGCAGCGTGGTCACATTCCAGGTGGAAACCTTCAGGGTCAGTGACGATGAATAAGACCTATTCTCATGTAAACAGAGATACAATATTGTCTTAACACCAACTTGAAAAATCCTGAACTATTCCTTTAATTTACCTTAAATTTGCCATAGAGACAGGTGTCTGAACACTTTATGAAGCCACTGTATGGCACTCACACCACTGCCCTTGTTACAACCGGGTTTAGGTTGATGCAAGAACCAATTAATTATTAACTTATATTGTTAATATGTGGAGGGATATGTGTTACAATGACCACATGATAAGGAGAACAGTTTTTGGATCAGTTCATTTTTTCAGATACATTTCTCTTGTTGTCCAGTTATTATTTTGTCAACATGCTGCTGTGTGTGTATAACAACACCACTATGTGACAAGTTCACACTTTTGTTGCCTTTCTGGTGTGTGTGTATAGGATGAACACACCTGTCAGTGCTGTGATACATGTAAGATAGTTGCATAAAGAAGTCTGTTTATTAGGGAAACAGACTTCTTTAGAAATCCACCAAGTGAAAGTTTTAAAGGTTGTCTACAGTCACAGTGGTTAAAAAGAGTAGGTAGTCCTGATAATGAGACACTTTTGCCAGAATTCCTTTCATTTATACCAAATATTTATAATTAGCCTTACATTTACACCATGCTCATAGTTAAATTTTTTTTGTATTGCGTTAGTGTTTGGATAACTAATGAACTTTTGCCCCACTGGTAAACTTTTCCAGGATCAGCTCATTCAGAAGATAACATCTTTAATAGTGACCACTGGGTGTCACTAGATATCTCTATACAAGCCACATCAATATCTATCTAAGTCTTTAATATATTCAGATTCAAATGATGACTAGTAATCCTTTGCCAAGCTGCTCAAATTTCATTTCCCAAGTTATCCTTGCTGAACACAGACGAGGTCAGAATATCTGTTTTCTGTGTTGCCCACTATGGAGCAAACGCAGTGGCTCTCTAGGTTGGTCCCACATAGGACGCCTCCAGCAGCAGCCATCTTGGAGGTGTTGGCATCGCCCTGGCACGGTATGTTTTTGTCTGTGGGTGTTCTGTCTGCCTCAGAATCACGTTCCCAATCTCCAGTTTATTTCTTTCTCTTTTTCAACCCCATCGTCTTTGTCCCTTGCCTCCCTCCTTCTCAGCCTTGTGAACAGTCTCATTTGCAAATGTGGAAAAAAAAAACAGGTGGAGGGGGGAGAAGAGAAAAGTAGAGATGAACCTCCAATGGAAGAAGGTGCCCCCCTACACACACCTCCTCTGCCCCTCACCCCATCCTCTCGTTATCCTCCACAGCTCATTTGAATAAATTAACACTCTGCCTAGTGTGCATGTGCACGTACGTTCATGTAAAAGACACGTTCGAGCAAACGCACTCTGACACGTCTGTGTGCACGCACGCCCAGCCGTAGGGTACGAGAGCAGCCAGAAATATGTCCTGTGCTTTGCCGCCATGTAGACACATGCTCGCACGCATGCACACATTCTCTAATGTGCTGATACCCTCTCACACATCTGCCACAACAATCACACATGCGTGGTTAGAGGCAGACACACTCCATCGGTCGGCACCTTCATGGTAATGTACTGCAGCGCGGTGGTGTGTGATTCATATTAGCCTAATGCTGAGGCTCGTACATACACGGCGGCATGCGGAGCCAGCCAGGCAGCCCCACTGAGGAAAAGGGGCTCTGCAGTACAGTGCTTAGCTGCGACCACGTTAACACTTGACACACACAGCAAAAAAAAAAATGTAGTTTTAACTTTTGATGGGGTTTTAAAAGATCATAACTCTCCACCCTCAAGTGATTAGCCTTTTTCTCGCTACTCTCCAGCTCTCCCATCTACAATCTACCATTGTCAGCCATCCCTATTCCTGCAGCTCTCTACCCAATCTCATTACTATCCCTGTGACCTTGCACAGAGCTAAGCAGCAGTATCATGTGCCCTCTCTCACTCCTAATTCTGACCTTGCTTAGGTTTCACTGGGCTGGGGGCTGTACATTAATGCTGGATACATTAGCGCTAATATGATCTTACCATGTAGTCGGGGCCTGAGGGGAGCTCTGATTGTCTGAGCATTAACATTCACATGAACTTATCCGCCTCATCACTCTCTCTGTCTGGGCCTGTTTCTGTCCTGGCCCCGCTCACCGTTTTCTTCCTCAGTCGACAAACTCTCTTCCTCTCACTCTCCTCCTCCCCTCACTTTTTATCTCCTTCTCTATCTCCAGGCAACGATGGAGCAGAGTGATGGAGACAAGTCACATGGGTGCTGTGGTTTTTAGAGGTGTGGTGGCAGCCTGTCCTGAGTTCTGTCCTCAGTGACAGTCACTGGAGCAGTCTGGTGAGCTGCTTGCCTTTGCTCTGGCCTCCCTGGCCCAGCTCAGCCTGCCAGCTCCCATGATGATCACTGGCTGACATACAGTACAACCTGCTTGCTGCTGTCAGGCCGACTCACTTCAGGCTCTTAACCAGCTTGCCATGCTGCTGTTTGAAGTCCTGACAGAGACGTATGTGTTACCATACAGGGCTGCTGGGTGGAGCTTCTGTGGATGAGGATCTTGGTTTGAGTGTCAAGGTGCTGGGTGCAGTCATGGAACCACTTTGTCAATGGGAGATGATGTATAGTATTGAGGTGCAGAATACATGATGCTGAGACAGATAATATTCATTGAGGGCTGTCACATTATTAACAAGAGCGCCCATCTCACTCAGCGTGCACTACACGCTGCACACTTAAATCTGGACTATGGTTTTGTGGCTGGTGAAGTGCTGAAAGCTGAAAGTGTTCTCATCTAGAAAAAAACAATTCCAAAGTACACATATGGATGTACAGAATATATTGTGGAAGTGCTCCTGTGTACACTCTACAGTATGTGTGTCCTTGTTTTATGCTGTGGTGTTTGTGTGTGCACATTTCTGGGTCTGCTTGAGAGAGAGAGAGAGACAGACAGAGAGTGTGCGTGGGTGTGTGTGTGTGTTTCCACCTGTTATATAATTGAGAGTGGAGGCAGAGTGTGCTGCCTTGCCCGCCACATTGCAGTGGCTCTTCAGTGGGAGAGAGGCCACCACTCGCCTCAGCTTGATTCCACAACCAGGGCTACTTTTGGTTACAACACTCAAAAGATCCACATTGTGCCACTGAGAGAGAGAGAGAGAGACATGAAGAGTGATGGTGGAGGTCAGAGAGGAGTTCAAGGTGATCGATAAGTAGCATAACTGAGAGGACAGCCAGTCATCTCTATGGTTGGTCTGACATGGATGAACAACAATCAGCCATGCTTTGGTATTTATTTTACAGTGCTGATCAGTGAGATGGTGAAGTGGATGGGAAGCCATGTAGTGCTGAAATCTCAGAAGCCTGTCTCTGAGCATACACTGTCCCTCTGTGTGTGTGTGTGTGTGTGTGTGTGTGTGTGTGTGTGTGAGAGAGAGAGAGAGGAAAAGTCAATGAGCAAGGTTCACAGACCAAGTTTAATAAATTTACTGACCATACACATCATAATATTAGTTTGATCCACTCATTTTAATGAAATTAATAACTCCTTAGTTGCTTAGTTCCTCCAGTAATCCTTATACCTTGTGTTTGAGCCCAAGAAGTCTGTAGTGACACACAGGTGCGCAGCGCAAAGCCCAGCATACATCCCCACTCATACCCTTGGATGAAACGAAGGCTGCGACTTCTCTGCGCTCCTTGTCCTCTTCTGTTCTCGCAGTGCAAAATGTCCATGTTTTCCCCTGACTACAGTGCCACGTTCTGTTGGCATGGGCAGTTTCACTTTCTGTGCGCAGCAAGACAATGAAAACTGATGTATGGACATTTCTAAGTTGATTCGAATGCGGAATACGCGCAGGCATTTCCCCTAACTGCTGTTTTCTGAACTTGCATGCATGAAAACAAAATTCAAATCACTTGCATGGCCGGAAATGTTGACGTTTGCACTTGGAGCTCTGTCAGCCTACCAGATGAAAACATCTATTCAGTGCGCGCTATACGGAGGTTCCAGTAGTTTGACTTTGCTGCTCTATTAGTACGTATGGTTCACCTCTCCATCGCGGCGCATCATTAGGATACCGGGGGTGGGGCGACAGCAGCCTGTCCCGGTAAGGGGAGGAGAGAGCTGGGAGCAGAGGCGGTACTTTCTCCGCGGCTCGTTTCTTGGCGCTGGAGAGTGTGGGACCAGGGCTGGAGAGACCGCGGGGGAGCATCAGCACAACCAGTCCAGCACGGAGCCTCGCCTGGCCGACCGCTGCGCCGTGCACTCTTCTTGGGGACTGCACAACATTCCTGTGAAATATAACTGCTTTTAATGGCATGTGGCTTGTAACTTTACTTCTGCTATATTCTTTTCAAGAAGGTAGGTTGGAAAATTCTCTTCAAGTGATGCTTATCTGCATGCTATCTCCTCTCCAGTGCAATGAAGTTCGATGTGCGTATGCATTGGCTTATCTGGTTGATGCGTTTTTGAAGTGAATTGATTGCATTCACAAGGGAGCGGCAGAGATGTCAAATCAAACTCTAAATCACCGTTGGAGGAACACTGGTAACTTTTTCCTAAGGTTTTGGAGGGCTGCTTTCCTGGTCAGTCTTCATCCCTCCCCTAAACCAGTGCCTTGTTTCCTCTTACGTTCTCATCATGATTAACTGATAATATGATTGCAAATGATAAAAGGGCTTATCATGAACATGAAGTCAATATGCAGTCAATTTGGATGATCCCATAGAAGATAACAAAGACTTCTAATGTGCACATCGTGTTCCTTAAAATGAAAAAGACAACGGCATTTGCATTTTGCATGATGAATATGTGGAGGTGTCGTGAATATGGAGGCTGTTGAATAGGAGAGGCTGATAAGGATCTGCAGGCGCGTGCACGGATAGACCGGCGACCTCGAGCGCTGATGATGGACGCATCTGTATGGTGTTTATTCGCAAGAGTCCAGGGGACACATGAATTTAACGCATTTGCTGACTTTTTCTGTCCTGTCCCAAAACAAATAAGATAATACTGTGTGCGCCGGCAAGCGCGCTCGTGGAGAGGTTGGGAGGAGGGAGGGAAGGGGGGGGGGGTCCCTTGGGGTTAAAGCATCATTTTTATCAGTTAATATTTTTGGAAGGAACTTTAAAATAGGGCATGAAAGCTAGTTTGTGTGTTCGTGTGTGTGCGTTGAAGAGTTTGTGCGGCTGCGAGGCACCAAGGGTCAATACAATCTATGAGAGATGTGTGAACCAATGCTGGGGGTATTGAGCGCTGGTCTTTAATTTTTACATAATGTGCCCCAGTTGGATATTTTGAAAGATTAGGTCGTATATTAGAGTTTATTTTCTTTGATAAAATGTAGGGGTGTCAGTGTATGCAGACATCCGTGGTCTAATTATTCATCCACCATTTTCTGTGGCACCAGATTCTACTGATTGGCTTCGCTCTAAATACTGCAGATGGGAGAGAATGATTCACTCTGCCTTTAAATATAAAACGTTTTGTTATCTATGATTTCTGTTACTTTGTAACAGCCAAACACCTGAAACTCGACCAGTATTTTAATTTTCCACTTGATTTTTATCACCGTTTTTTACGCACAGATCCATACCTGAATATGTCTGATTATAAATCTTATTAGGTGACACATTTGGAATAACCATAAGGATTTGGTTGTAATTGTGGTCAGTACGCGAGTTTCATGGTCCTGGTCTCCATCGCTGGCCTTGGCTGTGCCCTTTGCCAGGCTGCAACTGCAAAAAGGACTTCTGTGCTGTTTTGTAATTGGATTACAAGGTCTATTTCGATTATACACACTGTACATCGCCCTGTCCCGTGACTGAACGTGATGTGCTGTGTGTATGCGTCTCTGTGTTTATAGCTATGTGTGTGTTTATGTGTGTGTGTGTGT